GATGGTCAATTTGGTAAAGTAAATCCGTTGGGCATCTTTCTTTGCCTTTAGACAATAATTCTGATGCAAAAGAGCCAAACGGGACAGGCAAAAAAAAAGAAAAAGAAAAAAAGAAATGCTACCCCACAAATAAATCAAACAAAGCCTAAGAATAAAGTGATAAGGATAATGTGGTACTATGAGATCCTTAAGATAAGATCGGGCCTCATAATTCAAGACCTTGTGTGTTAGGTGACGGATTTTAAAGTCAGTTCTGGATTTATCAGGGGGGCAATGAAGAGAAGCCAGTGTGGGAGAAATATGATTTTTCTTTCTTGTACTCTTTCAAGTGTACAAATGAATAAAATCCTTTTCCGGCATCACTCAGACAGGATATTTCTAATTTTAGAAATGCAGTGCAAATAGCAGAAAGCCTCCATATTTGTTTAATATGCACACAGAACATATTGTGGTTAACAATGAGTCCAACAGTGCACTTGAGGCCAAAGTAATATCATCTAGACTAAGATTTTACGTGCAGAGTACAAGAACCTTTTTGTCAATTAGGAGAAAGTAGTGGTACGTAATGATATGTCCCTAAGCTGGTTATGAATCATTTCTTCTATAATGATTAATATTGTATTTGTGAAGAAGGTCATTACTAGTTAAGGGTAACGGACGCTTGGCTCAAACAGAGCTCTTACTTTTTGTCAGCCTGGCCACAGTGCTGAAGAAAAACCTGGGGCTGTTCCTGTTTTTCTCTGTCAGTGACGTTTCACGGAATAAAACAAGTAAAACTTTTTCCAAACCAAAGAAAGATCTTTTAAATAAATGCAAAGCTATTTTCTCTTAAGCTTAAGACTTTTCTGGTTCGTCATGACTTTATACCAGGGTATGCCGGGGCATAAACCTCCAAAATTTCCTGCTTCCTTCGCATGCAGTGAGCATGTAACACTATTAACGAGATAATCGACATCTGTGGGAGTCGAGTCCAGGTATCTTCTCTGCACAAAGAAGAGAAGAGTTTCTTTCAGTTTTGTTCCAACACATTCAGAAAGATATTTAGTGTACTGAAATTGTTTTTCGTTGTTTTCCTTTCCAGTGCTGTCCAATCCATTGTAAAGCTAAATGCCATTAAGAAATGGTAAGCCAAAAGATCATTTAAAAGTTTTTCCTGACAATGTTCTCATGGTGGGTGTGTGGAGACTGGAAAGAGGACCCACATGCAGGACTTGCAGGCTGATTGAGGAAGTTTTATTATCGAGACTGGATGAACTGAACATGGATGATGAAATGAACTGAATGACTGATCTAGACTGAGAACACAAAGGCGGAATTAATGATGCGCAGAGGGACTGACCTGAAAAATAGGAT